GGTTTTTTGTCTCCCCCCCCCCCCCAACTTCACTCTAGTCATGCTGTGATCTTGTATTGTACAAGGGTATTCTTATTCGTGCCTTCTTTCTGTATTTTATATGATCCTTATTATAGTCAACAGTATTTTGAAATATGTCCTGGACTAGATTTACAGTAGAGAGGTCTGCAACTTGGGCTTTATTTCTCTTTTCATACCGCTTGTGTCAGTTCTTATCTGGTCTGGAAAACCGAAATTAACAACAATGGGGATTCATTGTGCTGACCATGCGACACCCTCTGTCCACTAAAATTGGTATTAACTTTGCCGACAAGTGGTGGTTGCACGGTCGGTATAGTTCATTTGCAGACTAAAGCCGTGGAGTGTCAGTTCAAACTGAGGGGTTGTATATGACTTGTTTCAGTAAGGTATTATGGTATTTTCTATTAGGTAATTTTTTCAATATGTTGCTATAACTGTATTGATTCTGTTAATTAAATTATGAAAATACTTCATTCTGTGAAATCAGTTGTTGTTTATTAGGTTTTGATATTTCTTTTTCTTAGACTGACCTCTCTAATCTTATGTTGCTTGATTGCAGTGTTTCACGGAAGTAAATTAAGTGTATTTGTGAAAGCCAATTACATGTCTGAATTTGGAATAGCTCTGTGATAAAATAACCAGTTGTTAACCCTTTTCCACAGTTTATTATATAATTTGAATTTTATTTCAAGTTATTGCCATTGTATTTATAGTTGCAAGACCAAACTTAGACTATTCTGCTTTGCCTAACCTGTTACTAAATGTGGATTTTATATAGAGTTACTAGCTTGTTGTAGTTTGCTGCATCTGTTAATTACTTTGGATTTTATTTGTAATTTATAGCTCCAGAAACAATTCAGATGTAACCTATAACTCAATTCATGTATTTCTTATGGTTATTAAACATGAATTCAGTTGCAAAATAATGAGTTTCTAGTCCAATTATTATTGTTAAATTTTTACTTGTATCATTAGGCATGGGTTGTTGAACGAATGGGAAAATTTCACCGTATACTTGAACCTGGCTTGAACATCTTGCTGCCAGTCGTAGATAAAGTGAAGTATGTTCAGAGTCTTAAGGAAATTGCCATTGATGTACCAAAACAAAGTGCCATCACTTCAGGTAAGTGCTAAAAATGTGAGCAAGAACTTCAGCTTTCAGAATCATTGTGATTTGTTTGGATTCCAGTGAGCCTGTATTACTCATTGTTGGCTTTTAAATACAGGGGATGGACAAAAATATGGAAACACCTCATGAAATGCGTGCCTGAATTGAAGTGCTTATTTTAGTGACGTTTGTAGGTCATGCTGTAGTATCTGCCCAACACCACTACCTGTACAACCTCCGCAATACGTTGCAAGCTTCATTTGTTGTCGAGACAGTGTTCTGTGCAATTTTTTTGTGCATCACGTCAGAGGTAATAGAATTCGAATGCGGGCAAATTGTTGGGGCCCATATGGTGGGTGCTTCCGTAACCAAGGTAACCAAGGTTTCTGGTGTTTCACGAGGCACAGTATCCAAGATTATGACCGCATACAGGAGGACTGAAAAAACCGCATCCGATAAACACCAGCGTGGATGGAAATGTATGTTGAGTGATCGAGACAGACGAACATTGCATAGGATTGTGATGAAAAATAAGAAGACTACAGCTGCAAAAGTGACTGCTGAACTGAATGCCATGCTCACAAACCCTGTCAGCACCAAAACAGTACGAAGGGAACTCCACAAGCAGGGTATTTCTGGACGAGGTGCAATTCCAAAGCCACTCATCAGTGATCAAAATGCCACTAAGAGGACATTGTGGTGCTGAAGTCATAAAACCTGGACTGTGGAGCAATGGAAGACGGCCATTTGGTCAGATAAGTTCACCTTCACACTGTTTCCGACTTCTGGCCGAGTTTACGTCTGGAGAACGTCATCCCAAGCTTACGATCCAGATTGTTTGCTGCCAAGAGTGAAACATGGCGGGGGTTCGATCATGGTATGGGCAGCCATATCGTGATATTCTGTCAGACCCATCATTACCCTGCAAGGTCATGTCACTGCCAATGACTATGGGACCATTTTGGGCGACCAGGTCCATCCCATGGTGCAAACTTTGTTCCCTAATGGTGATGCCATTTACCAAGCCAACAATGCCTGTGTTCACATAGCTCACATCGTCCAGGACTGGTTTTCTGAGAACGAAGATGAAGTGTCACGTCTGCCATGGCCCCCACAATCGTCAGATATCAATATTATTGAGCCTTTGTGGTCTGTTTTGGAGAGCAATGTGCATGCACACTATCCACCTCCATCATCAATAACAGAACTTACCATGTTTTTCAGGAAGAATGGTACAAGACTCCCTTGCAAATCATACAGGACCTCTATTTATCCATTCCAAGGAGACAGCAAGGCAGAGTTTGCCCTACACCATATTAGTCACGGTAATGTGTTTTTTGTTGGATGTTTCCAAATTCTTCTCCATCCCCTGTAAGTTTAGTGACATTTGAACTCTTGACATTGTAGTCTTTGTAATAATATGTTGACATCTGTTTGAAAATTTAAGCAAATGGTAGGATATCTTAAATTGTGGATTAGATCATGACAGCCATTACAGTCTCCATTAAGAGAAGAACACAGAATAATACAGACAGAACTTAACTCCATGAAGCTGAGCCCTTCTTGAGAAGCTGCCAGTTGTGCAGGTGCTCAGGTATTTTCCAACGTTTTATGGAATCCAAAGGTTCATTACCGCATTCACAAGAGCCCTCCACTGGTCCTTGTCCTGAGCTAGATCAATCCAGTCTGTACGACCCCATTGTATCTCTTTAAGATCCATCTTAATATATATTGATGCTTGTCTAAAGTGGTAATTAAACATGTAATCTGAGTTTTTTAGTGATCAGTTATGAGTTTTAAGCAGTTTAAATTGAATTAAATGTAGTATTCATTGGAAGCCAGGAAAAATACACATCGTTAGGAAAACATTTTTATTTGAGCTGTATAATTGTTCATTTGTTAGGTACTAAGAACATTTTCTGTTGATAAAGTGATGCAATATTTCATTTTATGTAACACAAAGAAGTATCATGTCTTGAAGAGTAAATTACCTTAGTAAGGAGGTGACTAAGGTGAGATATGCGAAGTCTATAAAATATTAACTTCCTGGCTAGAGAGCCAAATCACTGGGTTGATTAGAAAATGAGTATTTTCCAGTAGCAAAGGTTTACTTTCTATCCCTGTCTTCACAGCAGAAGTGAAAAATGGTCATTACTTTTTTTCTGTTACAGTAAAACTATTATAAGTTATCTAAATGAAAGTTAACTTCATTTGAACCCAGAAAAGTGGAAATGAGAAATAGAGAATATTACATAACAAGGAACTTCATAATTTGTAGTGTGTCTAGTGCCCTATATGTACGTAGTTTACATGGTTATAGTCTTGTGATGCTATAGTCATGTCAAAAATGATTAGTTTAGTATGACTTAAAAGATGCCTTTGTGTCTTGTGCTGCATGTTCCTTGAGATGTGAGACACCACAGATGAGTGTGCATCACTTCTTATAGATATTCAGAGTTGATGGTGTGGGGAACTCAGATATGTTCTTACTCTGCAGACAGATTAAATCTTATCATGGGATAATAGGATTTTCTGTTGAAGAAATCAGTTTTTTTTTTCTTATTATAGTGTACATGATCAGCTGAATCAGTAGTACCTTTACAAATACAGAACTAGTTATGCGAGGAGTATCATACAGTATTATCATTGAGTTTGGGGTACCTATGAAAGTAGTTAAGCCCATTCAAATGTTTTTAAATGAAATGTGTAGTAAAGTCCATTTTTCTGAAATGTTTGCTATTCAGAATGATCAAAAACAAGGATATACTTTGTTACCATTGCTTTTCAACTTTGGTTTATCACACACTATCAGGAAGGTCTGAGAAAACCTGTTGGAAAGGAAATAAAATGTTGCACATCAACTTCTAGTGTATGCTGATGATGTAAATCTATTAGGACGTAACGTAGCTACGCTACTGCTTGTATAACTCTCAGGGTCCTTGGCATACTCAAACCCCCTCACCACGATAAGGTGGAAACACCAACGAGGGGAGGTAACATAAATACCATAAAGAAAAACACAGAAGCTGTAATTGACACTAGTAAGGAGGTTGGTCTACAAGTAAACACACATGTGGGAGCCTCCGACAGTGAAGCAAGTGCTACCCAATCAGCACTCCACACGGCAACTCCAACACCCATTTGTTAGTGCACCACCTAGTGGCAAAAGTATAAAGATGCAGATGTCTGACATGCTAGCATCAGTCAAAGCTCCCCTTACATTGAGAGAACACAGCAACTGCTAGTCTACTAGTAGCGGGCACCAACAGCCAACTTGGCCAGTGATCACCAGCGCTCATCTGGCCAGTCAGCCGCGGAAGGAGCTTCGCCGGCCAGTAAGCACATCATGTGTGGCTTCTGTGATGGAAGCACTAGGACTGCATTGACAGAGTACCATCATCGGTATCAAGAGCAGAGGCAAACAGGTGTGTTTGCACTTGTGCAGTCTGAGGGAAGCAGGTGTATTCATGTCACCAGCACAGTTTGACCATGGCAAATGTAACGTATAAGATAAAGAGGAAGTGTTAGATGCTGAATATGTTAATCTATCGTCTAGCACTCATCAGGTCACACGATGCAGGCCTGTCTCTGCGCAGTTTAGTGTGTGCTATGAGGAGCAATTGTGTCCTTCTATAGAATTTTTATGGGCATTACAGCCAGGGGATAGTAATATTTGCCTTTGTTTCTGTCAATGACTTCAATGGAAAACCTTTTACGCCATGTATCTATTAACATGGCGTGAGTAAACAATATCCTTGACCTACATGAAAGGACACTTGAAATTCCACATGCGTTATTTATTATCCAACCTATCTATCATCCCCCACTGTATTCATCTCTTTCTGTCTCCCAATGTATTTCTGATCGCATTATCCAGTACAAGCAAAACTATAATTGGAGATGAAATACAGTCCTGTCTTACACCATTTGTAATCTCATTGTAGTCTGTAAGTTTCCCTTCATGTAGTATCTTGCGTTTAAAATCATCATACATACATCGTATTAAAGTTAAAACCTTTTTTGTTGTTCCATATTCTGCCAGTGTTTGCCACATGATTCTTCTGTTTATTGAATCAAATGCTCTTCCATAATCTATGAGTGTCAAATATAATGTAGTTTGAAAGTCATTACTTTGTTCTAAGATAATTCTCAGTGTATTAACTAAGTCAACACAACCACATTGATGACGAAATCCAGCCTGTTCTTTACGAAGGCGTAGTTCAACTATGTTCTTAATTCTATTTATAAGTGTCCTAGAAAGTAATTCACTTGGAATACTCAGCGACGTTATTGCTCTCAAGCTATTGCATTTTGTTATATCTCCTTTTTTGGGGGGTATTTTGATTATAAAACCTTTCAAATCCATTGGAAACTTCTCTTCTTTCCTTATTTCAATTTGTAGAGGGTGTAGCAGGTTTACTGTGGTTTCAATGTCCAATTTTAACATTTCTGGACTTATATTGTCCATTCCTGGTGTCTTGCCGGATTTTGTCTCTTAATGCCTTTTTAATCTCTGAGCATGTTGGGGGTTGTAGTTTTATTCTTATATCTTCATTTTTATTTTCATTTCAATTTTCCTCTGCCTCTTCTTCAGTACTCCGTGTCTTTTTAACTTTGTCTGTCTTCTAGATTCTGGAGATATATTCTTCCCATCTTTTTAGTTGTTCCTGTGTTACAAGGAGTTCACCTTTGTCATCTTTAATTGGTTTGTTTTTTTTCTAAATCCTCTTCCTGATAGTGTTCTTATAATATCATACAGTTGTTTTGTGTCACCTCATCTTTCTGCTTCTTCTACACTTTGAGCCTGTTCATCTATCCACCCTCTTTTGTCTCTCTTTACTCCTTTTTTAATTTCTCTGTCCATTTCTGAATATTACACGTGTATAGTTGATTTTTGTAGTCTAGTTTTACACTGGTTTAACTTGGCATTGAGGATTTTCCTCTTTTCAGTTGCTTCCCAAGTTTCATCTGACATCCAGTCCTTCTTCAGTTTTGTTTTAAAACCAATTGTTTTTTCACTGGCTTTTAGAAAAATATCCATAATTTTTCTCCATTTCTTTTCAATCTCTATTTCTGTATCTGTGGATTCTTGGAGAATTTCAAACCTATTCTTCAATTATAGTTTAAATTCTTCTCTTTCTTCCTTATTTTTGAGCTTTTGTATATCAAACTTTTTATTTTGGACTTTCTTTTCAACTTTCTTTACTTTAAATTTAAAATGACCCATTACTAAATGGTGATAACATACTATATCTGCCCCTTATTTATTTCGCACATCTGTCAAAGATCTTCTAAATTTTCTGTCTATTGTGATATGATCTATTTGGTATTGTGTTTTGTGGTCTGGAGATACCCATGTAACTTTATGACATTCCTTTGTGGGAATGCTGTTTTACTGGTAACTAATTCATAGTTTAGGCAAAGATCAGTTAGTCTTTCTCCATTTTTGTTGGTGTTACCTATTCCATGTCTTCCAATGACATGCCCCAATCCTTCATTTTCTGGTCCTATTTGGGCATTCATATCACTCATCAATATTTTGATGTTCCTTCTTTTCACCTTCTTCAGTGTCTCCTTTAGCAATCGGTAGAAGGCATCTTTCTTTTCTGTTTCTGCTCTCTCTCTTGGGGCATAACACTGTATAATAGTTATGTTGCAGACAAGACTTCTAAAACTTGCTGTCATTATTCTATCTGAAATAGGTTCCCACTCTGTTAAGCTCCTCCTTGCTGTTTACTAAGGAGTAATCCTCCATTTTTGTGTTTTACATCGCCCCCACCTGGCCCTGAGTATAAAAAGGCATTTCCATTCTGAGTGGTTACTTCACCAATCTTTCCACCTGACCCCACTTAATCTGATTGTCTCCATACCACACTCTGACATTACTTTTTCCACTTGTTTTAGTCTCCCGCTTTCTCTTAAGGTGTGTACATTCCAATATCCCATCTTCATTTTCTGTTTTAGGCCAAAGGCTGTCTCCAGAGAATCTGTCCAGTTATGCTTCGCATTCCTTTCTTTAATATATCTTATTTAAGTTGTGCAGATTATTAGCCCACAGCACCTGATCTTGGTAGTGGGGCTGCCACATAAACTTCCAAGCAAGCTGATTTTCTGTTGGGGTTTTCTTCCTTAGCCTTTGTAGATCCCTCTACACCACAAGGCAGCGGTCACCCTCAGTAGCTTCTTAAGAGAGGATGGGTTGCCCCCTCTGGCAGCAGTACCATACTGAATGACTCCTTCTCCACCACAGCTGCCGTTGAGGTCTTCGCCATAACCCTGGCTAGGGGCCCTCACAGGGTGCTATCAGTCAGAGCCAACTGAACCCAAGTTTTTTAAAGAGGTGTTACTCCTGTATCACTCCATATTTTATCCTGGCTTGTGACAGGCAGAGCGTGGTTGCCCTATACTGGGCTCAGGTTGGCAAGGTTACAATGAATTGAACAACAATTTATTTACATTTTCTGCACAAAATTATTCCCCCCAACAACCTCATAAAGTTTGGCTCTAGCATTTGCATCCTTTATACCAGTGTGTATATCTGCTGCAGTATGAGCAGTATAACTCAGAACCCATGAGATGCACATACGAGTTTCATGGTCATGCACGCCATTTTTTATGATTAAACCTTATAACATAAAGGTATGTCTGATAAAAAGAATAACAAAGCAGGCATAATGGCAATAATAGCAGCAACAACAACAGCAAGAAAGCAGAAATAACAAAACAACAAGATTGGAGTGGTGTAAGAAATATATAGAAATATATGCAGGAAATCTCTTGGAAAGAAGTCACAGCTACTCTGGTTCTGCGTGAGTGAGTGGTGCATTTCCAGGATGGAGAATCTCTGAAATGCCTTTAATATATGGGAAGCCTACATGAATAATAAACATTTTAATTTTTTGAAGGGCAAGAGACATACAAACCAAGGATGGATGTTGTCATTGCACATGGGATATTTTGTGGGCCAATCTGTGTTTGGATGTAGTAAATTGATTTATAGTATATGGTAATCTGGTGTGTGAAAATGCTTAATACTGTATTATTGTTACAGACAATGTCACATTAAGTATAGATGGAGTATTGTATCTGAGGATTCTCAATCCATATTTAGCAAGTTATGGTGTAGAAGATCCAGAATTTGCAATAACACAACTTGCACAAACAACAATGAGGTATATCAGAAATATATCATTGACCACATCTCTTTTAGAGACATGTAATAATGCATTCAGTTTTATTTCTTTAAAGGAATTTAGTTTTATTCTTATTTGTTCATAGATCTGAATTGGGTAAAATATTACTGGATAAAGTGTTCAGGGAAAGAGAGAGCCTAAATGTGTCAATTGTAGAGTCCATCAACAAAGCAAGTGAAGCTTGGGGAATTACATGTCTTCGATATGAAATACGTAAGTATAGAATGCAGATCCTTGTGCTTCCTGCATAGTTTTTAAATTTGTAGTGCCCTAAAAATGTGTTTGACTTGTTATTTTAGGAGACATCAAGCTGCCAGCTCGTGTACAGGAGGCTATGCAGATGCAAGTAGAAGCAGAAAGAAAGAAACGAGCAGCCATACTGGAATCTGAGGGTGTGCGAGAAGCAGACATTAATGTAGCTGAAGGAAAACGTCAGGCCAGGATACTGGCATCTGGTTAGTTTCATCAGGTAGAAAATAAAATTTACCTGACACTGAATGAAACAGTTTCAGACTCATTGAACCAAAAGTTCATGGTTCTCCTTCTGTTTCTGTACCAGAAATACCTTGAATTGAATTAGTTCAGTACATACAAAGTAGTTATTAATTGCATATTTCACATGTTTAATGCTGTTATTGGTCTTGCAAGGAAAAAAAAAGTAAACTTTATAAAACTTAAGAGAAATGAGAATTTTATCACCAGTGGCTGTTACTAGGACATGTAATTGAAATTGCTTGAAATTTATTGGCCCCAAAAGTATTCCATTCAGCCAAAATCATTATCCATTTATTTGGATAGACTTGAAAGGATTCCGACGATGGTGTATACTGTACTTCTTTTGGCTTGTTTTGGACTTCATCCATCGTCTGGTATGTAAAAGACAAAAGACCACGACGTTTTGGAGACTGGATCTGTCTCTGTCTTCAGGTGGGTGGGGAAGGATAAACCTACTCACCTGGGCCTGTTAGAAAGAGCTAGTCTCAGTCACTGGACCAATCCAGTACATACCAGACGATGGATGAAGTCCAAAACAAGCCAAAAAAAGTATCCATTAAATGTTCTTTATATTTTAGAGGCCGAGCGGCAGGAACAAATAAACAAGGCTAGTGGAGAAGCACAAGCTCTGTTGGCCATAGCTGAAGCTCGAGCTAAGGGTTTGGAGCTGGTGGCAAGACCACTAAAAACTAAGGTAACTTTTCTTACCTTCAGTTTGTCATTGTCATTGCTACAGTAGAAGTCCAGTATAACAAATCTGTAACACACAACCCATTTTAATATGCATATCCATAAGCACCATCAAGATGCTGCTTTTACTCACCTTATCTCAGTCTCTATTTATGCAAGCCTTTATATAGGACTAGTCAACAGAACGAGGTTCAGTGAGTGGTCTGCAGCGAATCTAAGTATGGATAACTATCCTAGTTGCATGCAAGCAAGACAGAGTGGAATTGGAAGTAGCTGAATGATTTCACTTGAACAAAATCTCTATGAAATGTACTAGCTCAGCCAAAAAAAAATGAAATGCCCACATCACTGAACGTATCCATTACTTTGATATCTTCAAAGGAATGTGTAAATATACAGGACTTTTGCCAATCCTTTAACATGCACTTTACATCCAGCAAAACATCCCATTGTAAATGACTTGTCTGCATTCACTGCTGTGTAATCCATGTCTGTCAGCTTCTAATTACTTCTGCTGTCAAAGCAATAGCATCTTACATTGTGTATGGTTTCTCATTTCTTGTAGGAATATGGTCCCATGGAAGTAGCATTTCTTTGTGCATGCAGACTTGGTTGTAACAGTGAAATGATGTAGTTAATAGGTTTTGTTATAACAGTAATAAGAGAGAATATATTTGTGTTATGAAAGTTTTCAAGAAACTGTGCTCCAATGGAAAAAACATTGCAAAAAGGGATACAGTACCAAGAAATACAATCATAGTTTTGTGCTAGGTCACATGGCTGCCATGTTTGTTCAGTAATTAATGCCATACAACTATCATGCAAACAGTGTTCTCCAGTAATTATACATTTCCAGGTTCTAGACTCCCTATAATGAATATCTCTTATAGCTTCGGTTTTCACACTGCTGTGAATTGTTATAATGGACTTCCACTGTACATGCCTAGTTTTTACTATGTAAAGTCATAAAATATATTGAATTAGCACAGTACATTTTCATTTCATTACAAAACCATCATTAAGAGCATTATTCTCCATAAAACCATGTTGCTTGGCATTAATTGGTGATAATCTTCTGATTTAATGAGTTACTTGTGGAACTACCAATAACTGTTATATATAATGCATGGATTGCCATGTTTATGTACAACTTCATAGGAAAGCAAACAGCTGCGGCTAGGCAGAGCTAATGGTGAATATGAAGTGTGTTTCTGTCTGAAAATAGTTGAGCTCACTCACATGACGTTAAAAGATATGCCTGTTTTTAACTATAAAGTGTTTTAACTTTGGGAGCTTTGGTATTGCTGAAATGTTTGTTTGATGCAAATGGTGTTCCATGAAAATAAAAGAACCTGGTAGAAATTTTTCATTACTCACATGCTCTGCTTACTGATTGCAGGATGGACAGAATGCAGCATCCCTTAATGTGGCAGAGTTGTATGTTCAAGCATTCCAAAAGCTGGCCCAGAAAGGCAACACTATTATTTTACCAAGCAATGTTGGAGATGTCACAAGTGCTGTTTCTCAGGTGAGTATAAATTTTCTTCACTATTTTTTATCATTTTTAAATGTTCATGATGATGATTTTTTGTGCCTGTTCTGTGGTGTGCACAAACCCTTGTTAGATAATAAGTAACTCTAGTAGTTGTAGATAATCTGTACATCCCTTCTTACAGAATTGTACAATATTCACTGTTTGGCTTTATGTATATGGTGTCATAATTGATGTATATTTGGTGAATAGTTTATTAATATTCATATCTATAACCTGCAAATACAGTCATTCCTCACTAATTGGTGTCCCGCTAAGCAACAGTTCGATCCAGCGGCACTCCCACAGTTATGTCCGAATACTCGGTGGTCATTGCTTCCCAGTCAAGGATTGCCAATTTGCACATGTAATGGCAATGTTTAAAAAGTAAGTCATGTCATCCAGCCTTTCTGGCAGTATATTCATATCAACGTTCACAGTTTCTAATCACATTTTGCAACTTTCTGAATAAAGGGAAATTCTGAATCCTACAATGAAAAGCAAAGCAAGTGTTAAGATTGGACTCATTAACCAATGTCTCTAACTGACGCCATTTCATGGACCAGATAATGATTAATGGGAGATGACTGTACTCATTTCAACAGTTTATTCGATACACAGGAGATTTTTATGGACTTAACAGTGTGGTCATAGAAGAGGACATAAAAATACTGATCAATTGTTTGCATTGAGGTTGATAGTAGAAACCCCTGTGAATTTAGTATTGATTTTCTTTTATAGATTTTTAAGCAAGCTTATGGCATGGTAGGTAGAGAGTGCTGCGGGGAAGTTCCTGGTCTGTTATTGTTGTAAGTGCCTTGTTGAAAGAAAATTAGAGTGGAGGCCAAGGTCACACTTCCGAAGGGCTTTTGCGTCAGTCTGCCACATGACACTGCAATGTGGACATGCATTGTTTTTACAAAAGTGCCTTTTCCACTTCATGTTTTGTTTTGTCTGTGATGGATGGCAAAATCAAGCAATGTATTTGCATCAAGTTTTGCGTGAAGCTTGGTAAATCCACTACCAAAACTATTGAAATGCTTCGTGAGGCTTGGAGAATGTTCTTTAAGCTGGACAGCAGTTTTTGAATGGCATACACATTTCAAGGCTGGTCAAGTGTCAGTTGAAGATGATGAATGTTCAGGGTGACCAAGCACCAGCAAAATAAAAGAAAACGTTTAAAAAATTTGAGAGGTGCATGTAAATGTGTGTCTTGATATACAAGAGAAGGCTAATGAGGACCCAGCTTTTTCTCATATATCTAGGATCGTAACGGGTGACAAAAGTTGGATTTATTGTTATGATACAGAAACAAAGCAACAGTTGTCACAGTGGAAGAGCCCACAATCACCAAGAGCAAACAAGGTGCGGCAAGTCCGGAGATCGTCAAAGAGCATCCTTATTGTTTTTTTGACATGAAGGGGATTGTTCACTGTGAATTTGTTCCTCCTAACACTACCATCAACTCTGACTTTTACTGTGATGTTTTGAGACACTTGAGAGAAGATGTGCGAAGAAAAAACCTGGAACTTTATCACAACAACTGGCTCCTTCATTACAACATTGCGCCTGCTCACATGTCCCTGAAAACGAGAGAGTTTGTGACTAACAACAACATGGTTATCATGCCCAATCCTCCCTACTTACTGGGCTTAGCCCCCTGTGATATCACTTTGTTTCAAAAATTGAAAATGAAACTGAAGGGATGACATTTTGAAACAGTGCCCGACATCCAAAGGGAATTCAAGCGGTACTTGACAGCATTAAGGAAAATCACTTCCACAGAGCTTTTTGAAGCATAGAAAAAACAATGGGATCACTGTATACATTCCCAGTGAGACTTTTGAAGGATATGGCAGATAAATTTGAGTAAGTTAAGCCAGCATTTCTTTGTTGACCTAGTCTGGGAACTTTCCAATACACCTATATCAAACTTTAAAGGAATTTGGGATATCTGAGAAGATGAATGGGTGAAAATGACCCATATGAAAATACAAACTGAAAAATTAAAATTCAAGGACAGCAGTCAAATAATTTTAAGGGGAAGGTGTCAGAATATTTAAATATTTGGGTTCTTTGATAAAAGGGAAAAATGAAAGTAATTAAGAAACGAAGATGAAAACTGCTGCAGGTAATGTTATTATGGTTTACAGTATATTTTTAAGCATATAACCATGAGCATAACATCACAAATTAAAATGTACAAAAAAGTAGCCAGGGCATGAAGCCCACCACTCACCTCGAACTAGTGCTGATCAAGAAAACGTGGAGATATACACCTTCATGGCATCGTGGTTAATTACTTAAGCACAGGGACAACTTTATCAATAGATCATTGAAGGTTGCAGTGCACGGGCCAGATTTTATGACCCAGCCCTTACGCATACATACAAGGCCAGAATAAGATGAAGGCAAAAGGAAAATAACAGAGAAGAATGGCCATCTATCATAAAGGAGGTCACTGTTCTTAGAGGACCTTTGAACCAAGTAAAGACACAAGAGAAAACTGTGTCTTTAATTATATGTTCATTGACCCAGCATTTCTCAAGTCTTTGGAAATTTATGTTGTGCTTGCAGTGTCTATACTAATGAAGATGCTGGCTAAGGACTGTCATACCAAGTATAATTGCTATGGTAAAGTAAATCACATTCCTATACTGTCATTTCAAGACAGTCCTATACAGTGAAATGCCCATTTAAGAGGTTTGTCTTAGAAATAAGATTTATATTTTAAATAAAAAATATCTTAAATCAGGACTACACAGATTTCAAACAGAAAATGAAACTCCATTGTTAATTACACATTTGCTTTAATCTAACAAAATATGGGCAAATATGTGTTACATAAATCTAGAAAGAACAGAAAATTATGTATGATGTGCCAAATTGAATAGTAGTAGTTACTCAAAGTCACCTTTCTTTTTGTGCTCATGTTCAAATTGTAATAATAGGCCTGTACTGTATGTATTAATTTCATATAGTTACTGCAACAAACATGTGAATGATACTAAATATTTGAAAACATGTTAGACATGTCCAACATTTTCTGTCTGTACCATTCCCACTGTCATCTCCTTTGCTATAATATCTCTTTGGGGGAAAATTACAGCTTACAGCTTGTTTCTTTGGGCAGACTTGTAGCTTGTGGCTTCTGACGTTAAAATTATATGTTCCTCTGTCTGTGCTGACAGCACAGTGTGGCATGAATATTCACATTAACTGCATCTTAGAAACATCAACTTACTAAGAGCCTTATATGTAATAAAAACAATATTCTTTTCACAGACTGATGACAACCTTCATTATTTAACTCTGAAAATAGAGGGATAAAACCTTATCTTCCTTTTGTGTAAATGTGATACTAAACTGAGGTAAAAGTAAAAAAAATAAAGCTATCCCTGTAACAGGCCGTGAAGGCCCATAGGGTTGTGAGATGTTGAGGGTCCCACATTATCTAGACAATCGGCTCAAAGATGGCGGTAAGGTTGTCAGCCTTCCATGCTGGCCGTGCTTTACTCCCCAGGAAATTCCTGGTACTCGTTTCTGTTAGAGGCTGAGTTGACCCCAGGACCATAGTGCAGGCGGAAGGATTAGGTCAATTGAAAAAATTCAATGACCTCATCGGGACTTGAACCCATCGCCTTCCAGCTTGTAGCATAGTGCCCCCCCCACTAAACTGAGGTACAGATTTAATGTAGGGATTGGGTTTTCTTTCACTAAATGCAAGTAAAAAATGTGATAAGCACTAATTTTGGAAAATTGTGTTATTTTTATGGGGCTTTGGTTTGAACCAGAAAATAACGCAAAATGAGAGACTCTCTTAATTTCGGATTTTACTATTTAGCTAAAATGGTAAAGTTACAATAATTTCAGTCAGGCATTCAGTTCTTGTGAATTTAAAACATCTGGTGCTGAGAGGGTCAATTGTGGAAGATCAGGCATGCCTTCCTTGCACATAGTGTTACATATTTTCCAAGCCAGATCAGCTTCACTTCCAGAAGTCCTGCAAATTTGCTGCCTCAATTGGTATGGTATAACTGTGTTGGTGACCACAATTCTAGAAAACATTTTTGGGTATAAAAGTTACAGTATATTACAGTCTATGGGTAACTGTGTAACATACATTTACTGTTAATGATATTTTTCATTTTTAATAGTATGTTTTATGTCCTTCACAAAATACTTTTCTTTCCATGATTTATTTAAACCGTCTTGCAGTGCATACACTCATCTATCACCGTCTCTCACTCGCACTACATGTTTCGGCATAGTAATGCCATCTTCAGGTGCTTACTCAATCCACGCCAAACTAGTTCATTGCATGCCTTGTCCTCACGTTAAAATAACTAAAATATATATCTATCGTATACATTGACAAATGTCAAACGTTAAAAATATTAAAATTGTTCAGGATTCCACCTCGCTACGTCGCACCTCACTACGCCAGTCACGCCCATTCTCCTCTGTTGGAGCACTCCTTCACTATCGTGTGTGTGTTGTGTTTTTGTTGTGTCTTGCTCCTGTGACTGCGTATGTTATACTGTTGGGCCTGCTGGGTATGTGTGTGTGTTCTATCTGCCTACTGGATGGAGAGCACCTAAAGGCAGAGCATACTGTTCCTAACTCCATTTTGTACTACAACAAGCATTACAGAAATTATAACACAACTATGGTNCTATTTTATTTATTACTTGTGGTATTATAATTTTTTTAATAATACTCACTGTGTTTTTGTTGTGTCTTGCTCCTGTGACTGCGTGTGTTATACTGTTGGGCCTGCTGGGTATGTGTGTGTGTTCT